GGACCTAGCCCCTGGTGGCGATGGCAGGGGAAACGACGGTAAAGCCTGACACCAGCAATCTGACAGGACTTTCAATCAGTCAGAGATTTTTTTTTTATTTTTTTTTTTTGAAATGAACTTTGCATTTCATTATGAATACCTCTGGGCAAGCTTGGCGCCCGCCACCTCGAGATATGCCGTTGGCCCCCTCGAGTGGCATTGAGCAGAGACTGCTGATGTTCATAAAGGGAGGGGACCGGAGGGGAGGTCCTGATGCTACCGGCTAAACCCTGGCCGGTATCGCCCACCTGCTGTAGCAGGTGGGTATCGCACCTGCTGGTGGGTGCAGCTCCCGCATGTTCCCTCGTTGGAGGCTTGAGCACGGACGTGGCTGCTATGGGGTTCCCCGTAATACTATAATGACAATAAAAAAGGCCTGAAAGGGATTTGACAGGTAATTGAATTGGTTGGGCTTTAGAAAAAAAAATAAAAATAAAAAGATGGCAGCACTAAAAAAAATAAAAAATAAAAAGACGGTAGCACGGCCAAAATCTGACAGGACTATCCAGCGGCCTAGCTCAGTTGGTTATGCACGCAAGTGGCATTCAGGAGGTTGTGGGTTCAAGCCCCATGACCGCCTGCGGCGCACTTAGTGCCAACGAATTGGGATAGTCCTCTGGATACTCCTGATCGGTATTAGTGGAATCTATGACCAACATGGGTGTGAGTGCGAGCGCGAGTGGGTTGTGTGTGGTGTGTGGGAGAGTGTCGGCCATAGCCTCTGCTGCTACTGGATGAGGGGTGGGGGACGATGAGAAAGGGAGGCGCAGCAGGTACTGGCAGGTCTCCGTCTTTGTGTTAGCCAGACAACCACTGGCGGCCCCAACCCTATGCCCTAAACATTAGGGGCAAGGGGCAACATGAAATCTACCCTTCACAGTGAGAGGAAACTATGTTTGCAGGGGTCCCCTCTAGATAGCCTTAGGAGTAGGTAGTAAAAGGCAAAAAACAGAAGTTGAGAGAAGGATTGAGAAAGAGGAAAAAAATAGAAAAAAAAAAAAAAAACTGACAGGACTCTCGATCAATCAGAGATCAAATCTTTTGCATTTCATTATGAATGAAGACGGTAGCACGGCCAAAATCTGACAGGACCCTACACGGCCAAAATGTGGAAACATTGCGGACTACCATTTTTCCGTCCTTAGGGAGTGGTCGAACGATGATTTCCTGAGAATACTTATACTTAGATTTCTAGTGGTGTGGAACGAGGCCCACAGAGATACGAATACGTATACTTAGATTTCTAGTGGTGTGGATAGAGGCCCACAGCGATACCAGTGTGGAGCACAGGTACATTCGGAATCGATCCGACAGCTCGAAATCCGAAAAGTCACCACCTCCAGATACATGGTCTAGAATGTTCCAGGGTTCTGGAGCAATGCCCCATTTCGGCTTTTTCATGTTCAGTCGAATCGGACCCCACCAATCAAACGTGGAAATGATGCAACAATGTGAGGGCGCGAGTACGACCTGCCACCTCACTTGCTCGCAAAACCGCAGCACTTGAAGACGACGCAGTGCAAGCTCATCACGCCGCTGGATTGAAGCCGACATCTCATCGACGTTGAGTCGATCAGGGAAGCGGAACGAATTATTCGCCAAACAGCAAGCGTCAGTCATTAGGACTTGACTACGAACACACGCGCCCAAGTTTGACAGCTGTGTTCCAGCTTTTACCACGTACGCACATTTCTTGGGGCGTCGCCGCACGGGACACGAAACGAAAAACGAAACGAGTGCATCTTCCTGCAGAAAATGGCCAGGTTCATCGGTTTGCTATAAACAGTAACGAGTGTATTGTGCTACCTTTCGTGGGCAGATGCACTCGTTTCGTTTTCGTTTCGTGTGCCGTGCGGCGAGACCCTTGTACATACCACGCGCACGGAGCACGCACTCGCAAACAGTTGTCGTTAGCACCTTCATGCCGCTTCCCTCGTATTCCCCCGCCCCCCCTTATCTCTTCCTTTTTTGTTAACTATTCATCTCGAACGCGATGCTTTCCCACTGTTCGCTCTTCATCCCGAAGTACAACGTGCTGACAGATGCGGGCATTTTCATCATACGCGATCCCCTGAGATCTAAGGAAGCATTTTTTAAAAATTTTAATGTTATTTTATTTTTTCTTTAAGGAAGCATATTTCAAGGCAACTTAATTTGGCAAAGGATTGCTACGTGAACGTTTGACAGCCCAGAAACGTCCGTTCTCGTTCAAACACGCCGCGTGGCAGCGAACGGGATGAAACTGAACGTGCGCACCCCACCGGTGCGCGCGCGTCGCAAGCCTTCGGGGGGGGGCATCGACTTAAGAAAAAAAAATGACAACCAGAAAAAACACGTGTATGTGAGTTGTTTTTGTGTGTGTGTGTGTGCGTGTGTTAAACGTTTGACAGCCCAGAAACGTCCGTTCTAGTTCAAACACGCCACGTGGCAGCGAACGGGATGAAACTGAACGTGCGCCCCCCCCCCCCCCACCGGTGCACGCGCGTCGCAATCCTTCGGGGGGGCGCATCGAGTTAAGAAAAAAAAAATGAAAACCAAAAAAAAAACGTGTATTTGTGTTGTTGTGTGTATGCGTGTGTCCAATAGAACACTGTTTTTTTTTTTTTTGTTTTTTTTTTTTTTAATATCCTTGCGCAGGGGCCATGCTAATCTTCTCTGTATCGTTCCAATTTTCACGGATGTCCCCAAGGACATAGAACAATGTTGTCAATTGGACCCTTTGTGTTTTGTAACCACACAAAGGGAATTACAAAAAAATTGGAAACATCAATGTATGTTGATAACTGAAAAAAAGGGAAACAAATAAAGGGTGAAAAGTTCCCTTATTAGGAAAATTGGCACATTTTTATTTTTATTTTCAGAGTGTTCTTCTTTTGTTTTTTGGGTAACTTCGGCGCAGTCACGAAAACAGTTTGTAATTGCACTTCAGGCAATCCCGCGAATACAACACACCCCCACGCGACCCCACCGGACCCGAAACGTAGGTCATATACATTCAGCATTACCGGCCCTTTTGCCTCAAGTGCAATTACGAACTCAAACCCAACTCAAACCCTGACTGCGCCGTAGTTTTCTCTTTTTTTTTTATATAAAAGCCGGGAACCGGGCCCACAGCTTCAGTCATTTGTTGTACGATCCCACCCTGGAAACATGATATACTCCCTCCGAACGCTATCCGTTCTTCACAGGTTTCGGCGGAATACGAGGTCCTCCCATTCAAATTCTCCTTTCGACTATCGAGTCTCTAGGCTTTTAAAGGAGTTTGTGATGTGACAAAATACAAAACGGATTTATCTTCTTCTTTGTTAAAAAAAAAAAAAAAAAAAAAAAAGGCCCTAAAAAAAATCACTGCATCAAATATTCAAACAGACCTTCGAGCTCAGATTCGTGATAGTATTAAAATGATTGCCCATATCTGTACAGAACCGATTACGTAAACAACTTCGGTTCTACCCAAGAGCCTACTAGCTCAGTGGGGACCACACCTCTGAACTGTTGAAATACAGACCCAAGTTCGAATCCAGATGATGATGATGGAAGTTGACAAGTAAAACCAACTACTAATGAATTGCTTGGCCCCGGTCAGCTCAATGATAATATCTTAAGGCCATCGCCCTTTAAAAAAAAAAAAAAAAAAAACTTCGGTTCTATTTGCCATTTTACCATTTTTGTGTGTTTTTCCAATTTCGTCCTTTGCGCAAGGTTTTATTCATGGATTGCATCCACAATCATTTCAACGACTCGGCTGATGATCGAAGGACTCCCATGTAGACGAGTCAAACACGACCTCGATTTTTGAAAAACGATTTTTCGAAAAATTCAAGTAATGACTGTACCTTCGTTAGTTCCGCATGAAAACCAAAAAAAAACACGTGTATTTGTGTTGTTGTGTGTATGTGTGTCCAACAGAATCAAGTCATCGGTTGAAATGAGAGAATCAAAGATTTGGGTTATGGAAAGCCTTCGGTCTTACGTGGTTTCCAAGCATAAAGAAGAAGCGTGTTCGAAGGCACAACTTTAACTTGGGCACCGATTGATTGTCACTCTTATTCTTTTTCTTTCATCCCTTCTCTTTTCAATGCGAAGACTGTACCTTGCTTGCCACCAGTCAGGTAGGCCGATCGAGAGAATCAGACCGTTCACCGCGAGCACTCGGAAGAGTCGAAATGCTTTCCCTTCCATTCTATCCCCCCTTTTCGCTCTTTGCCCCCGTTTCCATGTCACCACAGCAATACTCGGTGTTAAGACAAAGTATGTCCAGTGGGAGGGATGCTTGATGATGGGCGAGACTCTGCATGGATGATCGAGAGAGGAATCGCTAAGGGATCGATTGAGTCTGCACTGCGCTTCAGGTGTGTTAGGGCCATATTGGACGTGGGTACGCAGCGCCAGGACAGTGACACATTGACATTACGTCTGACCCAAGACAATCATTAACACATAAAGACACAAACGTCATTCCTTTAGCAATACCAACAAGCAAGTTGGCGGCAACGAACACCCCACCTCTTCCAAAACTTTCGTGATGCAAGTGAAATAAGTAAATCCAAGGGATGCGAAACCCATGTCATGAATGAAGTGCAAACGCCATGCAGCAGATTTTCTAGGACAACCCGTCGAAAAAGGTTCCATTCAATGCCCGTTTCCTACCCCCACACCACTTGCGCACTCACCCCCACGGGTAGCGATGCAAGTAAAACTTTCGTGATGCAAGTTGAATAAGTAAATCCAAGCGATGCGAAACCCATGTCATCATGAATGCAGCGCAAACGCCATGCAGCAGATTTTCTCAGTCAACGCGTCGAAAAAGGTGCCATTCAATGCCAGACTTCCTACACCCACACTTGCGCACACTCATCCGCACACGGGTACGCTGCCAACCAGCTCCCCACCCCACCACCCCCAAATACACACACACACACACACAGAGGCAGCACGCGCATAGACACCAATCAATCAACCATGGTCATGATGCAAGGCGTTTTCCAGCTCATAAGAAGTCCGGATCTAGCAATCATTTATGACCTATCAAATAATTCAGGCGAAGAGCCCTCGCACAATTAATAAAGGAGACAGCCGGACCCGAATTGCAATTCCCTTCACTCAACCGTACCCCTAGTTTACCGCAAGAACACGACCCAATCCCACCAACAACACCGCTAAGCCTCTATCAAAAGGTCGACTTGTTTGGAGGAGAGTGCTCAGAGGAAAGGGGTACGCTTGGCCACAAATAATCAACTGGCAGAGCGCAGCTAACGCACTTTAGCTCTCACAATATGTCCCCCCTTATTTCGGTAACGCCTATTAACTAATTACTAATTGCATGCAATTATCTCACGTTCATAATCGGCCATTCTTTCCCCTCCCTCAACAATGTCACATCCCATTCCCCTCCCTCGAGAATCGCACGTCGTCGCCGACTTTCCGCCTAAAATGGCATCGTCACACATACATAATTGGATATAATCCCCAACATCCAGAACGCCCTCGGCAGAGGCCTTCGCTTCGCTTCAATTGATTTTTCACATATTTGCTCTCATGCCAGTTGCTCCCACATCAAATGGACAGATTACAGCAAAAGCACTTCGTCAACACTAAACCACAAACGATTCTGAACGTTCACAACTTGCCCTGCCCTTTGCCGACTGCAGAAGACGTTCAAAACCTCGTTGTACCTATTCGATGAGTCGTTTGAAACCACTCTTATGAATGCCGTGTTGAAAGAGACTAAACGCACATGTCCCTTCTCAATCCCCTTACGATCACATCTCCAACCAAAAACTTCCTCCCGCTCTTTTAGTAGGAAACTCCATCTACTCTTTTACAAATATACGCAAACAAAGAAACGACTACTATCTACGGTCGAATCTTGTTGCTAACCACTGCGACGCAGGCAAAACTGCTGCAGCTCTTCCCTCACTCCTTCCTCTTGGCAGCTGTGAAGAGAAACACTCGCCTCCTCCGGTGAAACCTCTACACAACAGCCATCCCTTCTACTAGTTCAGTATACATTCATCAATACAGGACAACAAAGATAGAGCTTGCAATGCAGGCAGATACAGAAATAAATCATCCTTTCCCCGAGCCATTCTCGTACAAGTGAGCGATCCGTGCCCGTGCGCGTTGACCCGGACGACCACCGACCACCCCTACGATCACCCGACTGCCAAGTAACGCCGCAACGAACATCACCCCTCTGGTACCCTTAAGAGCACGACGGCATACTCGCCCCAGAGAAAAGGATTTATTTACATGCACAAACACATTTCCCTGCCCCATCCCGCGCACAGTAAAAACTTAAAAAGCCATGCAAATACATGCGATCGCATGCCCCCTCCGCCCCTCCATACATCGAGGCAAAGTCGGAAGGACGCTGCAAATCCATTTCCGTAACACATAATGAGACCCCTTTCCCATCGAAAAAGGCCCAACCACAACACCTTAGCACTCTTCCCCATCTATAGGTTCAGCTTTCCACCATCCCCAGATCTCTCTCTCTCTCTCTCTCTCTCTCTCTCTCTCTCTCTCTCTCTCTCTCTCTCTCTCTCTCTCTCTCTCTCT